CTAATTACCGATATAACGCTGACGCCCCAGGACTGCTCGCGGAGCTGTTATCTGACTTAGGCGCTGAAGGGTAGCGTCGGCTGAGTCGGGGCTGGCGGCGGAGGTGGAACGCAGCGTACCCAGAGACGGTGTACGTGCAGGAGTACCGGTAGTAGAGGATGCAGACGGTGGAGGGGTCGGGCTCTTCAGCCGGCCGCCCGTCAATGATCGAAAGGCTGTGAAGAGGGTGTGGGTGGAGGAGCGGCGGTCCGGCGTGCGTGGGCCATCCTGCGTCGGCGGAGACATGCGTCGCGGTGTCGCAGTGCAGCGGCCTTTGTGTATGAGAGAGGAGGAGAGCGCGAGGGCGAGAGCGAGAGCGAGAGCGAGAAGAACGTCGAGGGTTCCCCCGGATGGAACTCTGAAGGCCACAGGATGAGGTTATGTGTGTGGCGCAAGCGCATTGGGGCTGTCATGGAGCCGAGTGGACAATGAGGGCAATGAGGCGGGGTGGAGGGCGCCCATTTGGCTGTGACGGGCGGGTGTCGAGGGAAGGAGAGAGTTAGATGGGAGAGAGGGTGGAAGAGGGAAAGTTCGCAGGGCGGCGACGAGGGGTCAGATGCGGAGAAGGCCCATGGCGGTGGGCGGTGGCGTGCTGGGACAGGTGAAGGAAGGTCTTGTCATGTGCTGGCAGCCCGCCGGCCTGCGACAATGGAAAATCATTCATGGTCTGGGGTAAAGGTACCGGTACTTTGACTGGGCGCTGCCGCTAAGATTAGGATGGGTGAGAGGTAGGTAACTACAAGTAGTATCAAGAAGTACTTGTATGGAGTTATGTAGTATCTATCCATATCAAGTCATGTCTACCCTACACTCTACCCTAGTACTAGCACCACTAGGTAGTACTATGTACCATGTAAATAGTGTGTCTTGGTGGGTGAAGAGCTGAAAGAGCTTGGGCCCCCCCGCAAAGTGGGCGCCAGCCATTGTTACCAGCAACCAGCGCCAAAACAATCAACTTCTTTTCTTTTTTTTTGTTGCCTTCGCCTCTCCAATCAGCACCCTCCTCTCCTCCTCCCTTTTGGTGCAGCTTCGACACCATGGCCACTGACATTGCGACGCTCTCGCAGCTGCTCCAGGCCAGCCTGGATCCTAGTCAAAACAAACAAGGTATGTATGCTATGCTACCATATCCACTCCTACTGGAACATGGTTCACTATACCACCCATGTGATGGACACTTGTGAGACAGTGACATAGGTTCTTTCTCCTCGCCAGCATATCTGAATCGCCTGGCCTGGACGAACACCATGGTCGGGGGGAGCCGGGTCAGGACGCGCAGAATCTGCGGGCTTCTCCTCTGGCACTGCCTCTGCCTTGCCTGCCCCTCCAGAAATACACCAGCGTCGCAAGACTGACTTCTCCCAGCCGAGGCAGCCATCACACAGGAACAAGCCAAGCCGGGCTTCTCCCTCTCCCTACTCCAAATCATCGCCTCAGACTCCAGCCCGCCAAACACACGACTGTCTGCCGCGCTCTACTTCAAAAACTTCATAAAACGCAACTGGGTGGATGAAGATGGCAACTACAAACTGCCCCAGGACGAGGTGGTGGCGATCAAGAGGGAGCTGATCGGGCTCATGGTCTCAGTTCCCGCAAATCTACAGGCGCAGCTTGGTGAAGCCATCAGCGCCATCGCAGACAGCGACTTTTGGGAGCGCTGGGACACCCTCGTCGACGATCTTATCTCGCGCCTCACTCCCGATAACACCACTGTCAACAACGGCGTACTTCAAGTAGCACATTCCATCTTCAAGCGCTGGCGGCCTCTCTTCCGGTCCGATGACCTCTTTACGGAAATCAATCACGTCTTGACTAAATTCGGCACACCGTTCCTGCAACTGCTCGAGAACACCGACAACCTCATCACGGCCTCTCAAGGTGACCCACAGACGCTCAAGACTGCCTTTGCCACGCTTCAGCTGCTTATTAAGCTGTTCTATGATTTATCCTGCCAAGACCTCCCGCCTGTCTTCGAAGACCATATTGGTGTCATATGCGGCCTGCTCCACAAGTACCTGACATACGATAACCCTGCGCTACATACGGACGATGAAGCCGAGGCTGGACCGCAGGAATACGTCCGTGCTGGCATATTTGAAGCACTTATGCTCTATATCCAAAAGTATGAAGATGTATTTGGACCTCAGTTGGGACCCTTCATCGAGACTAGCTGGAGTTTCCTCATGACTGCAGGGCTCGAGAACAAATACGACATTGTAGTGAGCAAGGCACTGCAATTCCTCTCGGCCGTCGCTTCTACACAACATGCTGAAGCCTTCAATAACCAGTCCGTCTTGGTTCAGGTGATTGAAAAGGTAATTCTACCGAACCTGACCCTACGTGAGTCCGATGTCGAGATGTTCGAGGACGAACCCATCGAATTCATCCGCAGGGACCTTGAAGGGGCTGACAATGATACCCGCCGGCGTGCTGCCACAGAATTCCTTCGCAAGCTCATGAGTCGCTTTGAGGGTCTCGTCACAAGCACCTCGCAAACCTACATTAACGCATATCTACAAAATTATGCCTCGGATCCTGCGAACAATTGGAAGTCTAAAGATACTGCAGTCTATCTTTTCACGGCCATTGCTTCCAAGGGTGCTACAACTGCAGCACAGGGCATCTTGACGGTCAACGCGAGTGTGAACATTTTGGAGTTCTTTCAGACACACATTGCTAGCGATTTACAGTCGCAAGATGCTTCGCCAATCTTGAAAGTCGATGCAATCAAGTTTCTCTACGTGTTTCGTAGCCAGCTGTCACCAGAACTCTGGCGAGCCGCCTTCCCATTGCTCGTCAATCAGCTAGGCAATGAAAATTACGTCATTCATACATATGCTGCAATTGCAGTTGAGCGAGCTCTGTTTATGACAGACGCTGATCGACAGCCAATCATTCCGCGATCAGATGTTGTTGATTCCTCAAATCAACTACTCACACATTTGTTCAAGCTGATCATGAAGAACTCGGCTCCCGAGAAAATTCAAGAGAATGAGTTCCTCATGAAGTGTGTCATGCGCGTCCTGATCTACATTCGAGACGGCGTGCTACCTCATTGTCAGAGCATTCTACAGAGCTTCATTGCCATTGTCAAGGTCATTCGACACAATCCCAGTAATCCGCGTTTCCAATACTATCTCTTTGAGGGCATAGGAGCATTAGTTCGATTCGCTGCACCAAAAAAGCCTAGTTTCTTTGAAGAGAAACTCTATGAGCCCTTTGCGGCCTGTCTCTCGGCAGATGTCCAGGAATTCTCCCCTTATATCTTCCAAATCTTCTCGGCTTTGTTAGAGGCAAACCCCTCTGGAGAGCTGAGCCCTTACTATCGAAGCTTGTTTGAGATTGTCATTCAGGGCGCGGTCTGGGAGCAGCGTGGCAATGTGCCCGCATTGGCTCGCTTACTGAGTGCCATGATTGCGCGGGATGCTCAACACATTGTAGCGAACAAACAGCTTGAGCCCATTCTAGGTGTGTGGCAGAAGTTAGTCGTTACCAAGGCGCAAGAGACTCATTCTTTCGAGCTGATCGAGGCTGTCATCACGCACATGCCCGCAGCGGCTCTACAGCCCTACTTCACCACTATCCTGCAATTAATGCTGCAAAGATTGTCTAATAACAAGACCGAGAACTTTCAGCAGCGCTTCATTGCTTTCTATCACTTCTTTTCGGCGCGATTGGATCAAGGTCTTGGCACGGATTATTTCATTCAAGTCACCGACCAAATCCAGCATGAGTAAGTCCTTCCCTATCTTGACCGGAACATCTGCTAATCAGGCAAAAGCATATTCAAAGCACTTTACTTGCAGGTTATCTTGCCAGAAACTCAAAAGCTTGCACGACCGACCGATCGCAAGACCGCTGTGGTCTCTTTTGCTAAAACTCTGGGTGACTCACAAGCCTTTGTTGACAGATATCCCAAAGGATGGCAACTCACGACACAGCGCCTGATACAGCTCTTGGTCAACCCTCCGGTCCCGACAGCTGCTGATGACATCATTCCCGATGCAGATGTGGACGAGCTGGGCTTTGGCGTTGGCTTCACACAGCTGAACACCTGCAAGAAGGCACCTCGCGACCCCTTCCCAGAGATTACAGATATCAAGAGCTGGGTTGGCGAGTATCTGAAGGGAGCAGATCAGCGACACCAGGGCCGGATTGGCAAGATTGTACAAGAGAGGCTGGATGCTGAATCGAAGCAAGCATTAGTTCAGTACCTGAATTAGACGTGCTTGAACACGGGCACGAAGGGGCAAACAACACGGATTATGGAGAATTATGATACCAGGAAATAACTAGCGGAGTTTGAGAGTTTCGAAGGGTGTTGACACCCAAACACATAGCATCAAGCATACTTGTGCATATTCTGGATCTACAGTCATCGCTTTTTCGAATTGAGTGATCTCACTGCAGTTTCCATGCCATTCTGGTTGGCCTTTTATACAAGCAGCTTTCAGGTGAAAGAAGAACTTGTATACCTTCCTCTTAGAGCCTAGCGTGTGTACATGTAGGGCGTATTGTTGCATTGCGTCTTCGAGTCTCCAAATTCTGTTGATATCGACTCTACCTGTATTCCAGTGACTGAAGTATTTGTATAAAATGATCACTGCTCAACCTAATCTTGAAATTGCAAGCATACTTTCAGCTTCCATCTTTGCATCTACTGATATCCTTTTTAAGAGGACCAGTAGTGGTATCAATTCTGCCATTCTCTCAAGATAAATAAGCTCTGCCAGAACCGCCACCAGCAATCAAGGTCGACAAGCAGGCGAGAACCATGGCAGACCCTCTCGCCCAAAGAACAGAACCCCTTTACCAAAAAGACGGTCAACTCCACACCCACACCAGCAGCATAACCTCCATCCAACCACTCTCCGCCCTCCCTCCAGAAACCCAAGCCCTCTTCAAGCCACCCCCCGAATCAACCCCCTACATCCTCACCACCCCCTCTACAATCTTCCATGCCCAAGGCGGCGGCCAACCCTCCGACACCGGAACCATAGCCCTAGCCTCCAGCCCCAGCACCCCAACCTTCCACATCCACCAAGTCCGCAAACTCGCCCCCACAATCCTCCACATGGGCATCTTCGCACCCGTACCCCACACCCCCTTCCCAACCGGCATCCAAATCACCCAAACCATCGACGTCGACAAACGAATCCTCCACTCCAGACTCCACACCGCAGGCCACATCCTCGGCCTCGCCATCAACCTCCTCACCGCTTCCGGCGCCCTCCCGCCCGACCTCATCGACGGCAAAGCCTCACACTACCCTTCTGCCGCCTTTGTCGAATTCACAGGCCTAATCCCCAGCACTGCGAAATCCGCCATCCAGGCCAAAGTCGACGAGCTCGTGGCCCAGAACCTGCCCGTTGGTATACATTTCTGGACTGAAGACGAGGCCCGCTCAAGGTGCTCAGGGGTGGTGGGCGAGGTCAAGGGGGATGCGGATGGGGTGAGGGTGGTCAAGATTGGTGAGGTCGGGAGTTATCCTTGTGGTGGGACGCATGTGTTGAGGTTGGCCGAGTGTGGAAAAGTGGTGGTTAGGGGGGTGAAGAGGCAAAAGGGCGTTAGCAAGGTTAGCTATGAGGTGCAGGACGTGTAGAGGTTCTATTCGGCATGCTGAGCCAGTTACAGACTCTTCCGATAGCTACACCATCAAAAAAAACTCGCGCACCTTCCCTCTAGCTCGCACTATCAAAAATCTCACCAAAAAATGGCAAAAACCTTGCTGTTGACACGAGTGGGTTTCGAACCCACGCACGTTTCCGTACCAGGGAACTCTATTCAAGTAACTTAAATCTGGCGCCTTAGACCACTCGGCCATCGTGTCTGTAGTTATAATTAAGAAATTTTAGCATGCAGGAAACTTTATATACCGGGTGGAGGGTTCTAGTTTGTTGTAAGGGAGAGTAGAGGTGCAGTTCCACGGTCTTGTGTAAGTGGAAGACTAGTGTGCGGGGTAATAGAGTGGTGCTGGGATGGATTGAGGGGTTGGCGGGGTAGATTGGAGCTTGTGAGACGGTGGTTTGGTAGGCGCGGGATAGGACTTTTAGGTGCGGCTTTGTGTGGTTGCGCAATTAGGTTGCAGTTGTCTTTGTAGAATAGAAGTAGGAAACAGAGTAATTTGTAGTGCAGGATAAATAGGTTATAATAGTAGTGTTGCTTCTGTTTCCCTACCTTGTAAGCCTTGTTGATGCGGCTGTATATGCAATTCATTACATAACTTTACTTCTTTTAAGCGCTATCTGATTGTTGGATATATACTTGATTTGTAGCTTGAACATTTTATATAGTATTACTATGCTGCGCTAAGATATACATGTAGTTTGGTACTGGTAGCCTATCAGGCAATCAGCGACGTCTGCTGAGTATTACTAATAAGGAACATAACATGCCATGTACAGCTCATAGTGCAGTAGAATACAAGCATCTGAAGTGGGAAGAGGCCACGTTTTACTTTCCACTTGATTGGCCTGCAAATGAGTCGCCCCCCGTACGACCATGCACTGATATACGTCATTCTAGTTCAGAGTGGCAAGCTGGATCCTCATCAAATATCGCAGCACATGAAAATATGGAAACTGATCTCCAGATGGCTCATAAGGAAGGGGCAATGTTACTCACAACAATAGAAACCACGGCCGAATAATTTGGACAGTAGCAAGGCGCAATCAGTCGGAACAATTTCTATCCGTCGAGGTGCCTATTTTATTTTTACGCTACTTGCAACTCTGCCTGTGATGGAATAATGGAAGATCAAAATGAAAGACGATTTCAGAGCGGCAAATCCAAAGACACGTCGCAAGAAGATCGACTAGAACGTCGACAAGGTGGTACGGATTCAGCATTCGGGAATCCACCAGTAAACGTCCCTTTTACACCAGATACATCACAACACAATGACCCGCAATCGCCCAATTTACCGCAAACTGCATCACGTTTGGGAGACTCCTTAGAGAGCGAGCGGCCCTTATCAGAAAGTATTGTTTTAACGGCAGAGGAAGCATCACTGTACAACCACTACAACGTCCATCTTGGTCGATGGATGGACTGTACTAATGCCTCCCGCCTTTTGACGCTCAGAGTGAGCGAGATGGCCAGGCATCAGCTTTTTTTGCACCATGCAGTTATATGCTTCGCGTCACGTCACAAGGGTGATCATCAGAAAGCTGGGGATGCGTACCACAAATGCATAACATTACTGATTCCTCGCCTCGAACAGAATCCTGGTAACGATGAAGCACTGCTTACCGCTGTAATACTTTTACATTTTGCAGACCAGCTTAGTGGTAAGTTGTTCGATATATTAACATGTAAGGTACTACAAAGACTGACAATCGGTAGTACAATCCAATGTGGGAATGTGCGACAAATCTCACCTTCAAGGTTCTTCTGGCATTCTCCGTGCCTCTCAATTAACACGCTTCATTGATCCCTCGGCACCTACCGTGCGTGAGGCTGTATTCTGGGTCTATGTGCGACAAAGTCTCTACAACGCTACTATCAGACAGCAGCCACTAGATCTCGACTTCTCATTGCAACTTGAACCGCTCGCAGATGCTGTTGGAAACCAACATCGCTTGGATGCTCTGAGACGAGAGACTGCCTGGGCCAATCAGATGCTATGGCATACTGCATGTGTAGCTAACTTTTGCTTTGCGGACACTGGAGCACAAAGCGGTCAGGCGGGAACTACGCAACGATGGCAAGCGCTTTGGACGCAGATCCGAACATGGCGAGATAAAAGACCGAGTTCTTTCGACCCAATCTGGGCAGGCCCATCCACCGACGAGGACGTATTTCCCGACATATTTTTCACGGCAGACTGGCATGGTCAGTTGACAACGTTGTGTTCTTGGTCCCCACACACTGACTTGGTCACGATAGTAATCTCCTTCACCTTTTACCACTTCGCAAGTATACTCCTGCTCACATATACGCCTGGCCCAAAATTTGGAATGCGCATTATACAAAGCGAAGAGTCTCGATTGAATGTGCGTGACCCACGCCGATCTGACCACAGTTGCCTGCTAACTCTGGTCATCTTAGATTATAAAGCATGCTGAGGCCATATGCTCCGCCTCCAACTCTTCGCCGCAGAACCCGCAACTATACATTATAGTGTGCCATACGGTCTTCATATGGGGGCCTTTATTGTCCAACAGCGCCAAAAGACAGAAGGTCATTTATTTACTAGAAACATTTCAGAATTCTCACTTTTGGGGAACATCTTGGATTGTCAGTGCATTAAAGACGGAATGGGGCATAGAATGACTTATGCAGAAAACTTGTATACCTATCACAGACAGTATCAGTGCCGTTAAAATAGCGATGAGATATACCATCCATATAGCCTAATAGGGAAACATCAAAACACGTAGGGTACGGGCTAACTAATTATCCCATATGTTAGCAAGATATAAGGATTTCTATATGTCTTCTTACATTAGTGCTGGTAAGAAGCTGAAGGTTACACCGTACAGCCATGTTAACCTAGTACATGTCGCCTTTTAAGTGAACCGCGAAAATAATTGCAGTAATACCAGCAACTAACAAACAAGCCTGGCAAGCGCCAAGAAGAGTAGCGAGGACTCTCTCCTATAGATACGGGTGCCCTAAAGTCTCGTGTGTCCCACTTGGTTTGTGAGACTTCACATCGCGATACATAAGCGCAACGCTTAGCACGAGTCTAACTGTAAAGCAGATAGCAAAGCTAATAAGGACAAAATTCATATTAAAGGAACAATGTGCGCAGCCTCTGTACAACAAGATACCTGCTTATATACTAGATTTAGCGATTCTTTTGCCTTACATGCCGCTAAGCACTTTCGCTATAAGTGCTTAGAGCACTCCACCAACAAGCGTATCGCATGAAAGAGACATAACTTATGTCTCAAGGCTAGCTAGTACGTGTGTTAGTTAGAGTAAAAGAGTAGGATAGGCTGTGTAGTGTACTGCAGTGTTCCACTTACGTCGCACCTAATCTACCACACTCTCTAGGAAGACAGCTCCTCCGCCGAGTCCTTATGCGGGCTTAACACGTCTCTTACAATCATTAATAATGTGTGGAACCCACTGTATCCTGCAAGGCCCAGACGTACAGCGGACCAGGAATGTAACTGGCTTGCCCATCGCTAGATAGGAGCGCCGGCGGCATCATAATCAGCCATGCCTAATTATACCTGGACAAAGGAATTGGCCCTGGATCACTAAGTTTTAGAAGACTAGCAAGGAGGGAACAGTAAGTAGCTACAAGAGATCTTGCACTACTACGTAGAAGGAAAGATAGGGTCGGACGTTATATCCCTAAGTAGCGTGCAGTGTTGCATGGCGCAGATAAGCTCGCATAAAAGGCTACATGCCCATTTCCTCTTTAAGATCTAAAGCGTTAAGGCACAGGATTCTTAGAAATTAGCTAAGTAGCGAAAAGCGGCATATAAAGGGGTCTCCTACCGTGATCTTATAGTGTTAATCACTTCTTCACTTCCTAAAACAGTATCTCCTTCAACACTATACAACGCCTCCGCTGTTTCTAGATAAGTTCTTAAGATACTATTAAAGATCCAACGCTATACCAAGGCATAGTATTTATATTAATGCTAGACGAATGTAATCTATTGCTAAGTATGCTAGCTCCCTGTGATTAATTCTAATAAGTTCAATAAAGCGGCTGTGATAGCGGATAATCCGCATTCAATTCAATCAGCTCCTCACACTTTCAAGTATATCTAAGATAACCAAGAGGACAAGGAGCGTGTAAGGAACAAGTCACGTTATACAGCAGATTCAGCCCTAAGTATTGCAAAAGAGAAAATACTGCTATAAATTACTTAACTCCATTTGCACCTCTTTTAGCTAATGGAACGTGTAGAGGAAACGGCAAACAGCATTACTATAATTATAAAACGTTTAGAAGAGTTAGAAGATAACGTAAGAAACAATGTTAGCGAAACAAAGGACCTGGCACATAGAGTTTAACAAGAAAGAGGCATTCTAAAGAGAGTAAAGGGGCCAAGAGACAACGGGGATCAGCTTGTAAGCTGTACAAGACGCGAGATAAAGAGAGCACGTGTGACTTAGGAAGACTAGTGGATATGTCACTAGATAGAAAGGACTTGACTCACATTAGTAGCTATCTATAGATCCTGTTGAATTCCTGTTCAGGCGCCATTAATATTTAGTAAGTCGTTATTCACCCTAGCATAGTAGGAAAGCCATGATACGTAGTGCTCTATCCTAGTTAGATAATAACCCAAGCAGCACTAGACGTTGCTAATGGCAATTATGTCTTGCGGTGGTCAGTATAGAGTTATGTATAAAGATTCTGCTTAGACTGCCTAACACTAGAATAAAAACTTAGTATTATCTGCGCCAGCAAGACTGTTATAGGCTTCTTTAGTCTAAAGCAGGCATTGGTTCCATTCTCACTAATGACTACAGTGACTTTGGCCTGACAATTTGAGTAGTAACTGGCAGTAGCTCTCTTTAAGCTGCGATCCACATAATACAAAAAATAAGGTTGCATTTAATCTAGCAGGAAGACTAGCCACATAGTCTAGATGCGATCAATGCCTCCGCCCCCTCCCTCCTCGTCCTTCCAACAAACGCCTGTGTCTAACAACACGGGCAGCTTCGCGAATTCAACTAACTATTATAACTATAAGAGGCAAGCGGTATATTAAGGTCGAGCGGGAAAATAGCAAAGAGCGACTTATTATTAACAAGGCCATAAATCAGGTGCGTTATAATGCTAACTAGGCAATAACTAGCTAGAAATCTTATTAAGAGGATAATTCTAGCATGCCTCTCGTTGTTAAGGATTCGTGGCAGTATCTAGAGTGTGAAGAGGAGGACGACTTGCTACAGGCGGCAACCAGAAAGGGGGTGATAAACGTTGTTAGGTACTTCATTCACGAGACAGTCCTTGTAGACGGCCCAGATAACAACGTCTGCACACACG